GGGTGGTAAATAAATTAGAGAAGAGGGAAAACCTTGAGAGCAAATGTCACAATTCTCATACTAGGGGAAACTAAGGATTATTCAAATATTTCCTTATAAAATTAAAATCTTAAAACTTATATAATATTAAAATTTGATATATTAACTACGTTTTGATGCCAAGTGTATTTGTATACAATGAACATAAAGTAGTTTAATTAAATTTTGAATATAACCCTCTAAAAAGTCATGATGTGCACATTTTGACCTACCCATAGTGAGAGGGTTAGTACAAGATTTTTAACAAAATATTAAGTCTCTCACCTTTCATCCAACAGCAGTAACAACAGCCTAGAAATGCAAGCTGGTTGGCTCAGAATAGCTTTGCCCATTCTACTTCTGAAAATTAAAAGACATTAGAATTAATATTGTCTTCTGACCAAAGTAAACTACTGACAAAAATAAGAACTAAAAATCAGCGTACTGATGGGCATAGAGAATTAATTATACTCTTCTTATGTTCTTAACCTGTAAAGATTAGAATGTGCTGTTTCATCAGTTGGGTATGCATTGATAATATTTATTGCAAACATTCTGGCCAGATAAGGAAAATGTTCAATTCCACAACAATAACTCAACTTCTCACACAGATTAGCTAGAATCCCATGCTGATAAGGTGGAGGGACTGGTACAGAATTTACCTAGATGAGTACCCTTAGAAAACATTCAGAGAATGCCCATAGGGTGTGATACCAGTTGGCCAGGGCTTCATGGTGGCACAACTGTGGGAGACCACTTCTTGACTTGTCTAAGTTATACTCTTTGTCCATACAGGAAAAGGGTAGAGGCACAGAAACCAAATTTGTGTTGCAAGGACAGGTGTTGTTGGGGCACATTCAGACCATACCTTATGAACTCACCTAACTCTACCATCAGACTCTATGGGACTGGCACCAACTGTGGGAGGATGGCACATATGGGTACTTGTGTACACCTCAACTTTACTGTCAGATTCTACAGGACTAACACCAGCTGTGGGAATTGGTATGTTATAGATATATTACAGGTTTGTACAGAGTGCTCACAGCAACTCTACTGGCATACTCTACAGGGCTTACACCAGCTGCAGGAGGACGGCACATTAGTCAGCTAGTAAGAACCAGTATACAGTGTGGTCACCTCAACTCTAGTGAACAGAGATATGCTGCAGGAGGATATATATACACACACACACACACACACACACAGGTATTGTATAGTGAGTACTCACCTTCACTCAACTGAACAGATACTACTATGGAAATGATTATATATATGTAGGAGGAGGGCACTGTATTATGCAGTACTGATCCATATTTATTGCATGCTCACCTAAACACTACTGAAAATCCTCTGGCTGCAAAAGGAGAGAACTATCATTTAGTGTGTGCTCTCCTTAACCCTACTAGACAAACTCCAGCTGCAGGACGAGGACACAGTCGCTTAGTGTATGCTCACCTCAACTCTACTGGACAGACTCAGGCTGCAGGAAGATGGCACAGATGGCATAAGTGATGTATCTGATTTATACGAAGGGTGATCCAGGCTACACTACTGGTGTCACCACAGCCCCACTGTATTAGTACTACTTGTTCTATCCACAACATTTAAGTTTCAATTGGCGAGAGTTCTCCCTGGTCCACCACCCCAGTGGCTAGCATGTGCCACTCAACAAATGGGGAAGGATTCACATAGAGGAGACCCAGAGAAGGTGCATGGACCCTCATCAATCCTTCACTCCAGAAAGGTATTTTACTGAAGACAGTGCAATGTGTGGCTGCAAAGCCCCATTTTTAAAAGCCAGAGAAGTGGGCAGAACACCTCTTTGGTGCTAGCTTTTTCCATGATAGTTTATGGAATAGGTACAGTCTGGATTGGACAATAGGGTGAATATAAATATATATATATACTACGAAGATACTTGAAGTAAACTTACAGAACACCCAATCTCACAATGAGCACTTGTTGAGCCAGGGCATATGATATGATAACTTTCTCTTTTCCTGGCTCTATGCAGTTTTGGGTAAGTATACCTTGGGAAGCAACAACACCCACCTGGTATGATCCTACGTTATGAAAGTGGGACTCTAAAAGAGAAATAGTAAGTATTCTCCTCAAAGACAGTGAGGTGATTGAGGAATGACAACGTGTGGAAGCTGAAAACCATCAAGATATAAAACAGCCAGAAGGTGTAGAAAGAGTCCACATGCCTGCCTCCATGATCTCTTCCAAAGAAAAAAATAGAAAAGATGTAAGAGAACAATAAGGGTGAAGAATTGAATGAAAAGAAAAGGGAAACAGGCTGTGAGCATCCATATCCTGAGATGAATATGTCAAAGGAAAAGTTGATGGACCAATCCCATAAAGGAAGAAGGAATGGGGTCCATGGAAAGAAAGATGGGTCCCAGGATAGGGATAAATGAAGGATGGGATCCCTAAAGGGAGAGGTCCATGATAAGGAACACCAAACAGCTTAACAGTATACTGGAGTAGAGCCACATGCAAATGGTCCAATTGAAGAGTGACAGAAGGAAGGGAGATAGGATAGAACTATGGAGTACCTACCTAGCAGTTTAAGTCTAAAGAAGAAAGGATCTGTCCATAGAGAGGAAAAGATAAGTGCAGTGGAAGAGGATGCAAAAAAGTATCTAAAGGAAAGACATCAGTACAACAGTAATCATAGGAGAAAAGTAGGATGGAACAAGTCAAAAGGAAAAATGATACAAAAGCCAGGACAGCAATGGTTTGAATGAGGCATGCATGAGATTGTACAAAACCTCATTAAGGTCTCAGTCAGGCAAGGAATACTGGGGAGACCAAGAGAGCAGAACAGAATGGAGAAAACAGGAAAATAAACACCTCTTGGTACTGGGAAAGGAGAAAGGCCAAGACCAAGAATCAATCAACAAACAGTCAGATAAGAAAGGTAGAAAAGTGATGCACAGAATTACTACCAGTAGGAAAGGGTTGGCAGAAAGACAAATGATGAAAGACCTGCCACAGATGGTGACAGACAAATACAGTGGAATTATAATAAGAATGTGATGAGAATAATGCCACATTAGTGGAACGTCCAGCCCAATATGTAACAGATCAATCAACTTCCATGCATGACGCTGTGATGTAGAGGAAAAATATCCCTCCATGAAGAAGGGAAGTATGAGAATGATGAGCAAGAGAGAGAGGAAATAAGGGGAAGAGGAAGGGAAATCTGAATATCAAGAAGACCAAGAGTAGTGCGTAAATCTAGGACCCAGAAGGAGCAGACAAATAGCAGAGTAAGAAAAGAGAAAGAGGTAAGATTAGGCTTAACTGAGATTCGAGAGCCAGGTCCTAAGAAGGAGGAATAGAGGGCCATAAGAAAAGAAGTCTAGAGTTGAGAAGAGTGACAAAATCGTCCAAGAGGGACATGTTCAACCAAGGGTAAACCCCATGGGAGATCAGGGGGTATAGAGGCTATTTTGTCAATAGAATATGGACTGGCTGAGAGAGGAAGTTCACCATCAGGGTTGAAGCTCTGGGTAAAGGTTTGAACAGGTTCAAAAGTGTATGGTTAACACCCAAAACAAAAGGCCCCTTTAACAGAAGTCACAAGGGTGGTTGGATCAGGAAAATACCATGGAATAGGCTGAATGGTACATGACCAAGTGAACCACAGTAGAAATGGGAATATGCCCAATGAAGAGTGAGCAGGTTGAGCATGTTGTGTGGAGTGAACTCTTGTCCAGTGTCCAAACGTCAGAGGTCCTGCTCCCGTAAAAAATGTACCATATTCAGAGAGAGAGAGAAAAGCATCAAAGAAGGGAAAGATCTGATTTGAGAGGCAGTAAGGGAACACAGGAAGAGGTTCATAAAAGAAAACAAAGGACCTCAGAAAGAAAACCTTGGGTCCACAAGGTCCACTGTAAGAGATACATGGGTGCATGAGGGTTTTAGGGAAGCCAGAATCCCTAAAAGCAAAAGAACCTCCTAAGCATGGAGAGAATAGGAAGTGTAAAACCTGATGACAAGATATACCATAGCTCACAGGAGAAGAAGATAGGCTGAAGTCAGTTCGTGCAAGAGAAGAAAATTTCCAAAATTACCCAACACTAAATGGGTGTGAGAAAAAATTTAGATCCCAAGATTACTAATTCCCCCCTCAACTGAGTAGCCACTGTAAAAGAAGGAGGTAGAAAAAAGAGGAAACATCTGAGAATGGGCTAACACATATAAATAGTCAAAGAAAAGGGACACCAGCCTTGGGTCATGAAAATGGCATACAAAGGCCCTCATGATAACAAGAAGGGACAATGCTGAGTCAAAGGGAAGATGAAAAAATGGACAGAGAGAGATACATAGGAAGGTGTCCAACACATTGACCATGGCCAACTGCAGGCTGGGTGAAAAGAACCATAGATGAGGCAGAGAGAGGAGGAAAAGAAATTGGAAGAAAAGTAAAGAGAAGAGGAGCAAGGAAAAAGGCTGGGGCAGAGAAATGGAAAACGACTGTTGCAAGAAATTGAAACCAACAGCAAGAGAAAAGAAAGAGAAATATACATGTGAGATGGTCACTGGCAAAAACAAAGTGATAAGTAAGACTTCTGGTAGAGGGAATAGCAATAAGAAAAAGAGACCGATCTAGACAAGGAATGGGAATAAACAGCAAGGTCAAGAAGGAGGAAAAAAACCTGGTAAGATAGCAATGGCAAAAATCATATAACATCAGACCAGGTCACCAGAGAGGAAGGAACACTACTGAACACAATTGGGTAATGAAAGGGAGCCAGACAAATAATAAGTAGACAAGAAGAAGGAAGGGGTATAGTGAAGAGGGAATGGAACCTAACCCTATGAGTCCCCACAACAGGGGAACAAAATAAAGAAGGACAGAGAAGAAGTGGAAGAGACCAAACAGAGAAGAGAACGAATGTCTACAGAAGCCATCAGAAGCATTAAGAAGTACCTCAGATAACAGATTGAGCTAGGAGATGGAAGCACAGACGGGTACAGAGAAAATACAATACACTGTAGAAGGGGAGTCAGTGCGCATGGAGGTGTGTCACCCTCCTACTAGTGGAGGGTTTTTTCGCATGATAACATCATGCAGTGGTGCAAGTCACATAAAGTTACGTGGGAATTTTCTCAAGGCTAGTGGCATACAAATCTCTGGCAGATGCACCAAGAAAGATAGCTAATCTTTGTGAGGAGGTGAGTTATCATCTTGTAGGAAATAAGTAAACAAAATAAAAAGTTCATGCATACAATGTTTGGGTTGTCTGTGATCCTACATTAATAAGCATCTGAAAAATATGCAGCATTAGGTGCTACTAATTTATTCTTCTGAATTCTTCGATAGATAAGCTGCATAAGATACTTGCAAATTTTGGCAGGAAAGAGATATAAAGCCCAGTATATTTTTGTTTTTTTACTTACTTTTTCCATGATTATTGCATGATGAGGAGTAGAATTTTTCAAAACTAGTCTAACTCAGTGACAAATCAAAGAATAAACTCATATTTCGTTGTTTTTTTTACTGGTCTGCAGTTTGTATTGAGAAAAAAAAATTACAGTAACAAAGTATCACTTTTTTAAATGAACGTATGGACCTTTCACTTTTTTATACTTTTCACGTCACATGCTTTTTTAAACATAGATTGATATGACTTATCAAAGTACAGAAATATTTTTAAAATGTTAATTACAAAGATTACTTAAGCTAAAAATCTTAAATTAAATTAAATATATACTAATCCTGATTTTAAAGTTTCTTGTATTAAAGATTCATTGTTAAGGACGAAGACATTAGCATTAACATTCACAATGTCTTATTTTAAAAAATATTATGTAAACTTACTTAGATAGGTTGTTTAGGAGCCCCAGAACTTCTTGTAAAGCATCATTCCCTGCTGCTTGGCCATGGTAACCTTCTGTTGCACGGGTTAAGTGATTACTGAGAAGTGTGGAAACTTGTCGTGCTAGTCCTGTGTGTTCCAAATCATCTTGAGCTTCTGTACAAAGCAAACATTTAAACAAAATTACATCACATACTAACAAGTAATATTAGACTGACTACAGTACCAAACCAAATGTGATCTTGGGGAAGAACTTCAATAGGCATTTCAATGAAACATCAACACAAAAAAAACATAAAATTACACAAACATAAAAATTAAACAATTACGAATATGAATATGAACAATATGAATAAAAGAATTAAGAAACAAAAAAACAGTCTTTAGTTTCTGAACCTATCTGTTTTTTTAAATATTTTTAAGCTTACTGCAGTGTTTGTTTTGCTGTGTTTATTTTCAACAATAAAAATACTCGAGGTTAATTGATAGCTTCACAACTAACATTTGTACTAAAGTGCATAATGTTTATTTTACTCATTTGTTTTTCTGTGGACAACTTAATAAATAATTTGTTTTATTTCTTTATTTTCAAGCAGAAGTTTTCATTTCTAAATTTAAGGAGAACCTAACCCTATTCCAATTTCTGAAACCACTTCTCTACTCAATAGTGCTCATCCCAACCTATGTCTTGGAAGAGTCACTCCTTACTTTTAGAAAATTGCCCCTTTCCCTAAGCTACAGTTAGAAGTAAGTAGCCTAGAATAAAATCATATTGGGGATGCAAAAAGGAATGAAATGAAAGAAATAATTCACCTTCTCTCTTAAACAAGTTATGTTATTAAACTTCCCAACATCTTAATACTAAATAGAAAACACTGTCCATATATTTACAGACAAATATACTTATTGATTTTTTTTCTTTGTCTACAAAAGATTTGTAATGTTTACTGAAAGCTTGCCAAATTTCGTGAACATACATTAAGTACTTTCAGAGTTATAGTATGTATACCTTCATGGTTACAAGTAACTTATATGGTATTTTTGAGGTAGTGTAAAATATATGACCCTGTTGCAAATCAATTAAATCATATATTATGTAATTCTTTTATCATCAGAATAAAGTTGCCCTCACCATCTGCTACTACCATGATTAATTCAGTAGTTTACCCCTAAAAAAATGTTTCTAATTTGATAAAACTATCAAAATCACCTTCTTCCTTTTCCCACTGTATACAGCGATTGGCCAGAACCTGAAATCCTGCCCATGCTAATGCTGGTACCTTCTGGTGGGCTGTCTGTGATTCACTTACCCCTGGGTCTTTTCTCGAGCCATTCAAGCTTAAGAGACGATCTAGGAGGTTTACAAGGCCACTACGTACCAGGCTTTTTTCCTCAGATCTGTCAAAAATAAATATTGAATAATTATGCAAAATCTAATTAAATAAGAAGTTCTTCTAAAAAAGATCTAATGTACCAGATCAGAATGCTTAATTTTCCAGATATAGAATTAGTGAATAACAAAAACATTGTATTTAATCTTTATAGTAGTTCTTTGTTTTAATCACAGCTAATTTTTTTATTTCTCTTATTAAAAAAGATACATAAAAAGATGTATTTTTTTCATGACCAAACAATGGCTGAAAAAGAAAATTCATTAATATTTTCCACGTATTATTTTTTTTTAGAAAAAAGTAATTACTTAACCTTGTATATGGAATAATACAGAGCAGCCCGATGCTATTACAGCATGCATGAGGATATCGAGCAACAAGGTGTACCATAGAAGCCAGGGTTTCTCCAAAAGCTTCACTGACACTACTCATCATTCCCCCACATGCAAGTTCATCAATCCTAAAATATGAAATGTATAAAAAACTTTAAAACTGTGTGGAAACAAGCATGTGAATTAAAAAAGAAAAATATTAAGCTTTCTTATAATTTGGCTTTACAGTATCTTGCAGAGAGCTCTCTACAATCTGAAAAATCTCCAGAAAAATATGTAAAGCCAAGCATGGGGAAAACATATTTAGATCTGAACTCTCCCAATCATTTCATACAGTTCACAGAGTATCACATATATTTCAACTACTACTATACCAGTCCAATTTAAATAAGATATTAAAATAATATATCAGTGGAATAACAAATCAAATCACTAAAAGAGAAAATTTAAATCAATTTCAAACTTTTAATTTTTAAGGTTATTATGTTAATTTTTATTCATATATATTCACCCTATCACCACGAGTATCGTTTACTATGCATGACACAAGGTTTTAATCTTACATTCAAAATTTTATTCAACTACTTTTTGTTTACGTTATACCAATTAGTATAACACAAAATATTTTAATAGTATATAAGTTTTAAGTTCTTAATTCTACAAGGCAATATTTAAAAAAATCCTGAATTTCCCCTAGTGTGACACACATGACACATTTTCTAAAGGCATATTCTTTTCTTTATTTTATCCAAAAAGTTTTAAATTCAATGTAATTTACTCACTATAAAATCGTCATTGCTCAGACAAACCATAATTTTTATAGCCTTCAATTTTGTTTGGTTACATAGCTATCAAATAGAAAATCAGACCCCTCCTGCCACATCCTCTCTTACATTTAAATATATATTATCTATAACCAATAAAAAGCCAAGGTTTTCATCTATCAAATGAAGTATTGTATAACAATGTGTTCTGAACAGATACTGGTCAGTTTCACTCAGTGTACAAGCTCCGTTCTCGTTGAATAGCTAACAACTAGTCTGGATGAATTTGTAACGGCTCTTGTTGCATAGTTAGAAAGCCAGAAGAATGTAATTAGTTTATTTTCTTTGGTACATTATTTAATTGAATAAAATTATTTAGTACCATTAGTATAAAAAAGTAAGATTTAGTGTCATCAACAATTGACAACAAGAAAAAAGAAGATTGGGTAAGTACTTTATTTTTGTTTTTCCTGTTTATTTTTATTTATTATTGTAAAAGTAACCAAAAAATAAAAATAGGGATCTTCTTAAGTTTGTTAAGATTAGATTAGGTAAAATAAATTATAATAAAAATGTTTCACGAATCACGCACACGAGCAGCTTATAGTAGCTTGTGGGTAATGTAATTCAATAGCGTAACAGGAACTGCACATATCCCAAGTGATTTACAACTTATAACGGTAGGGATAATAGTTAGACATGGTTCAAAGGGCAATAAAACAATAAAATTTAATCATAAATAGATGTATATTGTTATGAGTTTAAAGCTACTTAGGTTAAATGAATGTAGTTTCATGCTACATTTGAAGTCATTCTAGAAAGAAAAAGAAGGTAATTTAGATGTATTCCAATTCTTCTTTTTTTTAGGGGGGGGGAGTACGGGTCACTCAAATTGACCAACCTTGTATAGAGTTAGGTTAGAGAAAATAACAGATAAATTATAAAGTTTTACTGAAAACAAACATCTGAAATGTATTTAGAAGGTTTTAGGGATTACACAAATGAAATTTGAGATTTGTGAGATGAAGAAAAGTATTTTTAATCTTACCAAGAAAATCACTTTGCGCACAGACTATTCAAAACAAATTCTCAGTATATTCATGAGAAAAATCTTTATTTTAGTTTATTAAAAATACTTCACTAAAATTATGATTTTTTGTATGTGAAAGACTTATAATATTAATAGAAAGACTGTGAAATTATGTGAATATATAAACACAATACACTGAAAGTTAGAAGTATTAAATCTACAAAGACTTTAAACAAGTACAAAGACGTCACATGTTTGGTCAACTTGACCAAGCCCATGTTGAGAGAGTTAATATCTAAGAAAAATTTACTTTGGCTGACATTTTTCTTATACATATTATGAATAAATAACCTCATTTCAAAACTAAAATAAGTCACAAATATAAAAACATAATTTTATATATATCTCATTCACATACTTATCATTAATGGAATTAATCTGGCTTTATGTTTTTTTCTTTCAGTCCTATCTCTAAGAGTTAACACAAGTTCAGTTCTTCAAAAAGTTAAAAACTCATCAACTGTTTGCATTGTTTTTACCCCACCTTACTCCACGCTGTAACACAGCTGCTACAGCTGCAACCAAGTGTGTGGCACCTCCAACTCGAGATGCTGCTGTTAATAACTCCTTCATGTGGACAAGTGCCTGTTTTCTGGTCTTCCCTCGCCAGTGTCGAACTTTTGCAGCCATTAGAAAACTCTGAGGAGAAACCTGGTCCAACCAACAGTTATTATTTTAATGAAAATTCAATAATAGTCAGAGCATACATTTACATAATAACACAACTATGAATATTATTTTGAAAACATGTTTAACAACAACCTAATAGAACTGATCATTCATAACTGTTCTAATCTAACAATAATCTAATAAAGCTAATATCTTCATAACAATGATTTGGTCTAACAATAACCTAATTAAGTTGATAACTTTCACAATATTTTATATTTTTACCATAAGCTAATTAAGCTGATAATTTCATAATATTTTATAGTCTAACAATAACCTAATAAAGCTGATAATTTCATATTTTATACTCTAACAATAACCTAATTAAGCTGATATCATAGAAGAAAAACAACTATAGGAACAGCGATCTATCTGATTGTACAAGCCTGTATGTAATGGGTCGATTTGAGATATATCTATACTTAAGGTCGTTCACACACCCAAATATCCTGCTCAAACAAACACACCAAGTATTGATGTGTAATACACTGCTCGAAAAACTGCAAAGACAATAAAGAAATTTCATTTGATCACTTCCCCATGAAGGATAAGGAAAGGTCTCAACATCTCACTGTTTAATTTTAACTCATGAAACTCCATTCAAAGCGAGGTTTGTACCTTGTCCAGCCAGTATTTTACAACATACTAGTATACTAAAACACAGCCAAGACAGGTCACTTTGTAAAGACTAAAGATGAGTTTTATATTATTGGATACGGTAACATGAGTGCACGTGTGCTGCATCTCTGTAACTTCTGTATTATTAGCCAGGCACAGCTGAAAGGTCAATATAATAAAAATAATAAATACATATAAATTTAAGCTATTTAGTCTAAACATTTATGTTTTTGTGTTATAATCTGTTGTCATTCTAGAATGAAAGAGGCATAATTTATGTTTATTTCCTAATCAAATCTATCAAACCCGTACAGAGATTAGTTACTGAAAATAACAAATAAAATATAAAGTTTTTTCTTAAACAACGTTTGATAACTATCTAGACATTATAAATATTTTGCATGTGAAATTTGAAAGTTTTCTGATGCATAAAAGTATTATTAATCTTAAAATAAAAATTACTTTGCTTGTTGGATAGGCAACATGCAAAAAGAAAAAAAAAGGCATTAAAAAACATTGCTTTACAAACCTTGTGGCTTAATAAAAAATTTATATTTTGTGTATGAAAGCATTGTAACATTTACTGACAATCTGCCAAATTTTGTTAACATACACTTACAAATTTAAAGTTATTGCTTGAAAACTATAACAAGCACAAAATGGTTATGAGGTCGGTCCCAGGGGCCGAGTCCGTGCTGAAAGAGTTAATATGGAATAATTAATAAATTGATAACAATTCATGTTATCTTTTATGTGTTACATTACGATTTTACTGAAAATGCAAAGATGTTTTAATAAGAAAATTAGGCAATGGATTATGATAACCCTACTTTGCTAAAAACCAAAAAAATATTTAAGTACACTCTGCAATACCCAGGCAACATCATAATAATCAGTCATAACTATCATTATCATCATGTTATCTTCTAACTTCATTATAATTATATTATCATATCACTGCCTATATATTATTCACCATTGTTGAAATCACATCAATCCGTTTTCCATTTGTGTTATCCACTAAAGTGTGTATTAATAGCCCTTCATAGTGGTGAGTGAATGATCATGACCAGAAGCATTAGTAAGCCATTGTGTACACTCAGCAGGTGTGTACTGTCCCTCTAGTTGTTTTTTTACTCTATGCTAATATTTTCATAACAATGATTTGGTTTAATAATAATAATCTAATTAATTCTTTATTTCATAACAATGTTTTGGTCTAACAATAACATAATTAAGCTCTTTGCTTCATAATAAAGCTTTATTCTAACAATAATATAAATGGTCTGGTTGTTTCATAACAATGTTGTGATGTACATTAAAATATTTTGTAATCCCGTTTGACCATATTTTATTGTTTTATGTAAATATTAAATTTATATAACTTGTTTTCCTGAATTTCAGTAATGTCTTTTCTCTAATAATAGTAACAAAAAATTTAATACTTAAACTCGATAAACTAATTATATCCATGAAAGTTATCATTTTCCTACACTGAAAATAGATTTCCAATAGATACTACCTCCTCTCACATATAAAGCTTCTCTCAATCTTCGACTGCTCTCTAACGCATTAAAAATCTTAATTCTCACCTAATGCACTAGCCTTTTTATACCACTCAGTTGCCACTGCTCATTTAGCATGCATAATGCATGCGACGACCTTCCACCAATAGAAGCAAAACGCACACTCCCTGAGCAGTTGACACCCTCTGTACTACATTCTGTGTACTTCACTTCAGAAATTAGGCATACTGTAAAATAGATAAACACCAGAAGTGGGGAAAACTTGTGAGAAGCATGTGAGCAGAAGTAAGTATCTATCGGAAATCTATTTCCAATGTAAAAAAATTAGATGTTTCGATATAATACATACCTCCTCTCACATATAAAGCTAGAATCCCATATTGAGCAGGTGGAGTGAAGTGGAATTAAGTAATCAAACTGTGAGAACTGCACAAACTTCCACATCAACCGTGGGAGTCAAGAAATATGCTAAACCAAACTCAAAATTATGGGGCAGTGTTTGATACTCCACTCAAGTGTAAAAGCATGGGTGCATTTTGTAGCTGGTACTACAAGCAGGCACAGAACAAAAACTACTCAACTGTGTTCTCAGGATTAGGAGTAGAATGTGGAACATCTGCTCAACCATAGGAACAAGGCATAACATATCCTGCAACCAGCATTACAAGGTGAACAAAGTCCCCTGAACCCAACCGAATGAAGCAGAAAAAAAGACACCCTCCACCAGAAATACTGAGACCGTAGGAATGGGATGCTATCGACCTGAACTTGGTATTAAGAAGAGAATTCAGCATCAGCTGGTCTGGCTCCCTCTCACATCTGACTCCCTGGAACCATTCATAATCCAGTATGGAGAAGGAGAGAGAGATTCCAGCTTCGCCCTCTTCTCAAGAGAGTGAAGAGAGAAATTGTAGTATATGTATATCACACTCTCGAGGTCCACCACTTCAGAAACTATGGAACTGGAAAATGGTAAGGTCTCTCACACTCCACTTGAAGAAGGGAGGGTAAAAATGCAGTGGGGAGTCTGGAAGAACAAAACACCAGAGAATGTGCAATGGGTGACTGGGAAACCCTATTTTGAAAAGCAGACTGTTCCTGATTTATTCAATCAAGGGATCGATGAGGATGGGCAGCAATCCCCATCTGCTTTAGTCATGATAGTCCATGAGTAATGGTTTGCCATGGAAGAAGAGAGAGATATAGATAAAATGTAATATACATCACTAGGTAAGCTGCTAGTGATCTTGCAGAACATCCTATCTTAACAGTGTGTGTGTGTTACACATAAATGTATCAGGTATGGGCTTTAGTCTATATACACTAGTGCCTCAATTATCTGTGCTGGTCTGGGGAAAGCAAAATATAGTGGATAATCAAGGCACTAATGTATTTCACTATTTAGCGCATTGTTTAATCTAAATAAAATTTTTCAATATATTTATGTTCCTTGTTTTAATTTATAATCTTTTTACTGTTGTTTAATCACATTATTGTGAAAAATTGTCACAATCCTAATCATAAAAGTCAAGTGTCAGTTGGCTGTGCTCAATTTCTCTAATTTCATAAACTACACGAATACAACTCCACTTTTTTTCCTATACTACTTCCTCTTTTGACTGCTCATTCCTCTTTTAGTTGTATTTAATTGCTAAGATAGGCGTAAATAACTCCTATGTTTGGCACTTTTTTGCTAGAAACATGGAAGAGCATTCACACCCTATCAATACCTGTGAAAAACTTAAAATAAAACCCAAAACTCAAGTGCTTTCAAATAGTTGACTATTCTTCTTCAGGAAAAACAATTAAAAATTAGTGGAAATCTATGCTTGGGAATTACTGTAAAAAAGCCTTTCTTAAATCAGCCTGAAGATATCAATTATCTGTTGGGAAGAGGATGAATTTGCCTCAGAAGAAGAACAGGTGTGTATGCAATCAAATGGTCATCGTATGTGGTTAAAGGATGCCCGGTTTGCAGCACAGAACAGCGGATGATAACTGAAGTTGAGTGAAAAGTAAAAAATCTTAATGTGTATTTTTGTGTTTTTGCATATTATGTTTTTAATCACTAATCAAATAAAGTTAACCAAGCTACAAATATTTTGTATTCCTGTCTTAACAGCTAAAAAAAAAAAAGGCAAGGCTAGGCTTCAACCAGCCGACTCACGATTTGAATCCATGCCAGATCCTACAGGCGAAAACCCTAGATATCATGCAAAGCCTGATCTTTTGCAACCAGAATTAATTTATGAGTGACAATTTCTCCAAAACATGTAAATTATTGTCTACAATTGTAATGGCACAATTATGCTGTGAAAATTTTGGGGGAAAGAAAAACAGCAGATAATTGAGAATCACGAATAACAGAAGCGCAGATAATTGAGGTACTACTGTATAAGAATATCTTAGCATACCCGATCAGGCAACACTCACAACAGAGCAGGATCTCAGTAAGGAACTAACAGAAGGGGAGGCCCTGCAAAAAATGAAAAAGAATAATACAAAAGAATACATTAATTGACATCATAACCAAACTGGAGCACGTAGATTTGCCACTGGAGGGAGATGGTATCTGCCTGCAAAAGATACAGCCAATTGGTGTAAATAATGCAATACAAAGAAGTAAGTCCACATACTGTTCTGGACAATCTCTTTCAAAAGGAGAAGAAAACAAGCAGCCAACAACATAGTGATGTGGCAAATTTGATGAGAGGACACATGATAAAGACAATGGCCTTTGCTGCAAAGGGAAGAGTAAGCCAACCGAATAAGCTGACAAACCCAACCATAAGAGTGATGGAAGAAAGAGCAGGATACAGGAAATAAACAAACGTGAAT